TTATAAGCTAAATGTACTTTAGTAAAAGCTTCATTCTGCAAAATAAATGTTTTTTTTTGTGTGTGATATATTGTTATATAACATTTTAGATTTTTAATGCTGATGCAGTGATATGTGAGCAGCATTTTATAGCAGGTGGAGGTGAAGGTAGTTTTTACAACTTATATGTTAGTTTAGTAGATAGTTTAGCCCAGTGGGTCCCAACATAGGGTCTGGCCCCCTCTTAAGGGACACAAGATAAATCTGTGGAGTTGTGAGATGAATAATGGGATAGGAAAGAAGAAAAAAATTGGTTTTACAACACACATTTTTGTACATTTTTCTGATTTCTTTTTATTATTTGCTGTTTTTGTGAAATATTTTAAGTCTTAATTCTTTGAGGCTTAAACAGTTTTGGAGTGAAAGTGAAACCATCTGAGAAGTTCAGAGGGGAAAATCCATCTGTGGTGGAACTGCTCATAGACATCTGAAGCATGACAAGGGGCCACAGCCAGACACTGATTTTTGTATGTGACCATAAGCAAAAAGGTTGGACAGCTTATTATATATATCATTAACTGAAAAGTAACTACACCTCTTAAATATTTATTTATAAGTATAAGGCTACATAAAATGGAACTATTTAAGTAAAGTTATAAATAGCTCAAAACTGCAATTAAGGACAGTGTTTGAGTATATGTACATAATAATTAATTAATCTTCATGTTATGTACATATTAATGTATGTACTGTACTGTAATTCCAAATATACTGCATATATATATATATATATATATATATATATATATATTTATATATATATATATATATATATATATATATATTATAACACTGGAAAATCTGGATAAAATCTCAAATCTACCCAAGCTATATATGTATATATATATATACATATATACATATACTGTTTTATATATACATATATATACTTATATATGTATATATATATATATATATATATATAAGATATAGAATACTGGATGTTTAAACATACTAAATCTGATTCTGATTCTGATCTTATCTTCAGCATCATCCTCCTCATTGATCATCATTACTATTATTATCAACGTACATATCAATGTCATCATTATCTTCATCAACATCTCTATACTTACCCTCATCATCATCATCATCATCATCACCATCACTGTCATTCTAATCATAAAAACGGATCAATCATCTTCTTCTTCATTATCACCTCCACCACTGCCATCATCCTACATATCATAGGCCTACTTACCATCATTGGCCACTCCTCACCCTTGACATCATCATCATCAGCAGCTTCTATCCTCTTCCTCTAACCTTTATCTAACCCGTCATCATGCCTGTGTCGCCTACAGTGGTGGAGAATAAACAGCAATACTTTAATATTATTTTTTTTTGTCAACAATATTTAAAAAAAAACTGTTAGGAAATCAAGCAATTCATCTGTGGGAAACAAACCGTTCCATTAAAACTCCCTCATTTTAACCCGACTCAGATCGCTCCCCTTTCAAAGGCGCAGAATAGCCCTGCCTTGATCTGCATCAATTGTCATCCCGGGGCTCAGAGGCACTTCGGCGGCCAGTATAGCGGGCGAAGTCAGGGCTAATCCCTGGAAAAGGGGAGAATCACGGGAGAGGAGAAAAGCAACAATAACCAAGTCAAGCGTATAAAATGAAAGCGAAATCTCTATTATCACTCCCCGCAATTCCCAGCAAAGTGGTGAAAATCAGGGTTAGTTTGTGATTCGAGTCAGACGCGGAGGGAAGAATATGGGGGTCCCTGCGGGTTGGGAGACTCACACGACGAAAAGGGCAATATTCTGGAGAAAGGAGGAAGAAGAAAGACCCTCTCCCATCCCGACATAACCATTAAATGCAGTCTGACTTTATGTTGTATAGAGAGGGGGGAACAAGAAAGGAGGCACAGTTCTCCGATGAAAGAATGAGGTTTTTGGCGGATTAGGGACGGCCCGAAGGATGAAGAATAACTTCTGCATAACTTTACAGCTATTTTCTCTCCCCACGCCAAGAGCCAAGTTTAAGGCTGGAGCGGTTTGAGTTAACCCCTTTTGTGATTGTCCAGTGAGACACTTTCACAAGGGGGGGAGAAAGGACTCATCACAATCTCAGCTCCTCAAAACTGAGCCTCTTTAGGTGCACATTACAGGTGCAGAGCCAATCCAATAATGTTTTAAGGAATTGGGGAACATTTTCAAAGACCCTATAAGATAGTATATTTACTCAAGAGGTGTACTTAAATGCAATTTTGATGGTCTAGGTATTCAATGCAACTGTGTATCCGACAGCATTCCACAGGGGAATATTGCTCTTTTTACTCCAATACATTTATCAAACAGCTACAATTGATAATTACTTCACAGATTAAGATTTTAAGTGAAAACCACCCAAATTGGGGCTCTGTGTCTTATTTTAGCAGATCCACCAAATAGTGATTTCCCATCTTAGCTGTTCCTTCAATTTTTTTTCTAGACACCAAAAGAGAAATGTGCACTATTTAATTACATTTTTTTTTTTTTTTTACAAATTTGTTCAACAGAACTGTTTTCTTTCCGACCCCATTAATCATTTCAAGACCCCTCAGATTTATTAGTGTCCCTTTGGAGGGGGTGCAACCCCTATGTTGGCAACCACTGGACTAAACTAACTAGATGAATAGCTTCACATCCAGATTCTACACTGATATTACAACCTAATATTGTCTTATATAATATTATGAAAGTCACAGACATCATTTTTTCTGCAGAATTATTTACTTTTTTAAGTGCATAGTTTATCATACTTCATATTATATCATATCATATCATATCATATCATACTTATTCAAGTAGGATTTTGAATGCAGGACTTTTACTTGTAATGGAGTATTTTACATAGAGTATTTGTAATTTTACCATTGTAAAAGATCAGAGTGCTTTGCCCCAAATAGATTTTTAGGCTTATTGCCTTTGGACTGTGCCCCCCCCTTCCCCCCCAGGATTATCAATAGGTAGTACCTTCTTCTGATCAATGTCTTCGTTGCATATGCTGTTCGGTTTAACGTGCAGCAAATCACGAAGAGCTTCTTGGACCGAGGCTCCTGAAGGGCTCTCATCATCACCATCATCTAATTTATGGGTCTAATTAGTGATTTTTGTCCTCTTGGTTTCTCTATCTATCACATGCTAATGAAGGCATTTTCTGCCATCTGACAATAACGGTCATCTCAAATAGTAATGATATGCCGATTTTACTTGGTGCTTTGCTGATTAGCCCGCAGAGACAAAACTTAGTGAATAATATGATCAGACTGAGGCTCACCTATAAGCCTATACGTTTTATTCATGCGTGCATTATTATTATTATTATTATTATTATTATTATTATTATTAATAATCATGTAGATACTTGTGCTTTTTATTATTATTTTTATTTTTTTAAACATTTCTAAAAGTTACTGTGTAACCAAGTGGAAATCCATAACTGCACACAAAGATAAAAAAAAGGAAAAGAAAGCAGGACCATAAGGCTTTAGGCTGTAATCATGTCTTCTTTCTGAGAGCCACACTAGAGAATAATAAAGGAATGGGGAACATCTGAACAATTAGGTGAACTCTGGTCAGGAGAAGAAGAGTTAATGAGCTGCCGGTGCCATGTGCAGTGAGAGGAGCATTAGAGGCCAGAATCCATATTTACCGCCGGAGTTGTGCGCAGCCATCAGAATAGGCCGCTAATGCTGCGCGCGTTGTCTCCCCCCTTATTTTCATTAGGCTCTGATGACTGCGGAATTGATGCGGCCTGCAAGTTATCAAGAGCCACTAATTTCACATTAACGACCATTGACTGCGGTTGCTTGATTCGAGGGGGTTTTTGACAATTATCACAATCAGGATTGGAGCCCAAATCGTTTACCTTGACTCCGTAATTATTTGCTCCGAGCCGAGCGCACATTGCAAAATTGTATGGTGTCAAAAACCTAAATAACGAGGAGACCAGGAGAAACGGCTATCTCTGTCCAACACGCACGCACCGCACCACACGCACTCTCACACCTTCCTCCGGCACACACACACACACACACACACACACACACACTGTAGGCAGAGGACCTACACTGTAATATAAACCGCACCAACTCTTCCTTGTGTTTTGTGAAAAACTTGTGTTATTGGTTTTTAAATAACATAATAAAATCATTATTAATGTAGTTTATGTATGTATATTCGTCTTCTTTTCATTATTATCACCATAATTATAATTATATACCACTATAAAGTGCATTTTTCTGAACAAGATGCACTATTGTTGTTGTTTTTTCTTTAGTTTCAGTGGCAAAAGTACTAGAAATAGTAGGATTTGTGAGTAAAAAAAACGGTATTCCTTTGGTACAGTGAATGCATAACACAAGTAAAATGAATGTAAACCAAATTAATGTTATATGTTAAAGATACCCTCCAGACTTGGATCTACTTGGAACAATAATGTGTGTATGACGTGCTTTTTTCACCTCATTAAAAACTCCAGAATCAATGAATATACAAATTTAGTTTTAAGTCTTGCTGGACACAAGAGATCTCCTACTTCACTGTAAAATCCATTCTCAGTCTATATGTGCACTGGTGGCTCAAGTTTCTACATCACATTTGTATAAGGTTTCACACTGGACCAGGGTTGACTTAATAATCATGCTGAGAAACTTTGCACTTTCAGCAGATGAATGTGAAAACATCCTTCAAGTGTCAAACTCTGCACATATATCATTGTGCACAGTGAAGCTCAAACATACAACTGTAGGAACAAGAAGAAAAAACAGATTTTTGAGTGGAGGGGGACTTTAAGAACTCTTCCACTAATATATTTATTAGTATACAACACGTATAAACTACAGTCGTTATATTGCATGCTTTCAAAAGCCAATTATATGTTGTTTAATATGTATTTAATCCACATGGAGGTTCTGTAAAGAGAAGTTACAGTAGCGCTGTTCTCTCGTGCTCTCGCGAGATTTACCGACGGTCACATGATCGCGTTGGGAGCCCAACCAGGAAATCATGGGTTGTTTAGAGTGAAAGAAGAGCAGCAGATGCTTTAATCCTCGTTTCCGACCATGTCTCTCCACAAACACAGCTGTTTGTTGGTTTTGGCAGTGTTTAACATTTACCCTGCTGTGTTTGGCGACGGAGTGAACCTCGCCGTTTCAGATCCAGCGGACAAACCGAGACAAACCTCGTCTTTGAGCCCTGCTGTTGTGGTCAACCCGCCTCCAGATCCCCTCTTCTCCCTGAATCTGCTCTCTTCTCTGCCCGAGGACCCGGAGATCAGTGACTACTGCAGCGAGCTGCTCCACATCTTCGGACAGCTGTATGTGGACTATGTGACGTGTTTGGTTCCCGCCGCTCGACCTGTTAAGGTTTGCCAGAATTGTTACTCCAGTTTTGGCAGTCTCAAGAACATCTACACAAACATCTCATCAGACCAGGTACGTGCACAAATACACACAAAGTCATTTTGTCCCTGAGCTTTTTTTTTTTTAGTCTGCAGTCTGTCTGGTCTGCTTCCCTTTTTCTTTCTTTAAAGAGGACAGGCCTTGTCTACACGCAGTTGTCTCATGATCACGAGTCTTGTGATGTGACTGACTGCTGGGGACAAATATGAGGAAACACGAATTCGTCTGTTTGACTCGACTATTAATTGCTCTTAAACCCCTTCCCTTACAGCTGATCTATTGGTCTTTATGGAGTGCAAACACATGTATGCATAGGAGTTAACTGGCTGCATGATAACGTGTGCCTGTGTTTTTTCCTCAGGAGGGTCCTGGTAATGTGAGCTGCAGGGACAGCCTTCTGCGCAGTGACCGGCTGATGCTGGTTTACCTGATGTACAGCAACCTGGTGGGCATTTGGAGCAAATCGGCCTGTGACAGTAAGTCCCCCGCAGGAATTTAAAGCCCCCCCGGTGGTTTTAGACATATGTGAATTATCTGGGTTTCTATCTGTGGGGAATTTGTGCTTTTGTTTGAACCCCTGACTCGCACACATTTGACCGCAGAGGTCAGAGTGCAGGGTCAAGTAGGGGCAGCAGTGGGCAGTGGACACACTGGATGTTGCAGAGGTCAAACATGTGACTTTGTCGTTTTACTGGATAAACTCCTCAGCCACCAGGATACCCATCATGAATCACAGAAGCTTGTGACTTTGTGAGATAATTGCATCAGATTTGGTGGATTTCTGCCAGTAGGAGAGTGTGAGCATTTGGTTTGTGTATGTCGGCAACTTATTATTAGTGTCATTATCGATTTATTGAGTTTTCGTGGAGTAAGAAAGTAGTGAAAAATGCCAGTTAAGTTTCCTAAAGCCCAAGGTGAAGTCTAGCTTGTTTTACGTATACGACCAACTCTCCAAAACACAAAGATATTCAGTTTAATCCCACAATGGAATCTACTTTATTATCCAAATAGTGCAGTTTAATTTTCTGTCAACCAACTAATGAATTATTCTACCTGTTGTTTTAGCTCTAGTTTGTTTCTACATCCACCCTTTTTAGCTGATTTTGTTTGTATTGTTGAACTAAAACAAATTAAATCTGGTTAAACTCTTGGATAAAACAGGGAAAGTGAACAAATAGACCTAACCTATGTTTGTGTTTATTGCCATCTGTGCAGACTGTATCACTGAAGGAGGGCAGAGCCTGACCAATGACACGCTGTTCTTCTTGACCACCCACAACCAAACTCTCACCTGCTTTGAGAAGTATAAAGAGGTAACACCATAAATTAGGTGACGATGTCTAATATCTATCATGAGTTTATGTTGAGAAGGTTACTATAATGTCTGTTGTCCCTTTCTCCATTTCTTCTTTTCACAGGGGAACCATTCACAGCTGTGCACAAACTGTAAGAGCCCATACAAAGACCTGAATGAACTGTACAGCGGCATGGAGAAGAATCAGACTTTGTGTATTGACATAGAGGATGCGGTATGTATGTTAGGAGCAGAGATTTATACGGCTCCTCTTTTTAAGATGAGAAGAGAGAAAGCTGCACCCCCTAGAGGAATCTGTAGACACTAAGAGACAGTCAGAAGGGTCTTAGAGATAATGAGTTCATAATTGTGTCACACCCAAAAGTTGTACCAGGTTACTTTCATCATTAAACTTGACGGTTCACTCTTGACGTGAAGATGTGGTTGAAAGCAAACAAGTAGGTTGGAATGTTTTTCCTTTTTTTATACTATACTATAATACGATAGTTCATTAATAACTGGAGAAAAAAATCCATGAAAATGGAAATCTTGCAGCTCTTGATGGCCAGTCAGTGGTTTATTGCTGTCATTAGTTGATATTTTAACCTTAATTATGAAATTAGATGTTCTTTTTCATGGTTTAGTTTGGTCTTACAATGTCTCACTAGGTGCTGAGTTCATATTAGAGGCCACTGATAGGAAAAACTATCACTAATATTGTGTGACAAACTGGAAAATTGAGCTTTTGGTCTTTGGCAGTTTACATTACTTTTTGAATGTGGCCCATATCAGATTCCAGTGTGATGGCCACGGTCCTGAAGTGACCTGCAGGATGAATGTCGACTTAAAAAGTCACATGGGTTCTGATATGACTGTTCACAGGTCACATACCGAAAAACCCAACCTGTATCTGATTCGGACCACATATGAGAACTGAAAGGAAAAGTTGCCATGTGGTTTGTGCTGTTCACACTGTCATGAAACAAAAAACAGATCCGAGTCACATGTGAGCAAAAAAACTCTGAAACTGAACTACTTGTTTAAAAATGAATGAAAGCTGTTTGTTGTGGTAGCAGGATTCGGCTCCTGAATGCTCTCCTGGCCTTCTCAATAAGAACTACAAGCGGTAGAATCCCTGAATTTGAGACCAGAACCCTAAGAGGGTCGAATTAATAGTAACGCTATCCTATAATTGTTGTCAGCTGACGTTTATGTTGTGTTTGGCACTTTGTTTTTAGATGAATATGACCCGCCGACTGTGGAGTAAGTATTACAATTGTTCCTTCCCCCGCGAGGAGACGGTGCCTGTCATTGCTGTGTCCAGCTTCATGCTCTTTCTGCCCATCATCTTCTACTTGAGCAGCTTCCTTCACTCTGAACAAAAGAAACGCAAGCTCATACACCGTGAGTAACCAGCTTAATTCGCCCATTGTCACACAGAGAGATTTTTTGACGGGGTTTTGAGGGGTTTGGGGTCTTTGTGGAGGCAGGAGGGGGAGGGTGGGTGCTTGACTGACTGTGATATTGGGGTTTGGCTGTGATGAATGAAGGGGGGGGTTCTTGGTTGTTCTAAAGCATAGTGGGGTTGCCTCTTGCAAACCTCTGGATCATGGACATTTGGAAGGGTCCCAGGGCCAAGACTGAGGAGAATAGGAACTTTATTTTTTTTTAAATATTTTTTTGTATTGGTTGGATAGAGGGGTAGCTGTTGAGTGAACAACAAATGAATTGTGCTGGTCAAGGAAACATTGGGCCTTGTGCAAGAAGCACCCTTACAAATAGATTGGTATTTAAGTACAGGTGGTGTCCTAAAAAGTCTGAAATACAATAATCTGACTTTTAGGCCCCAGAATGTCTTAAATATGATTTTGCATTTATATATAATAATAAAATATTTATTGGATTAATGAAGATAATGTTACTTGTACAAAGTAAAATTTTTAATTTTCGCTTTTAAATGTGTTTTTGGTAAAAATGCGTATGATCAACAACTACAAAATGAAACCAACATTGAACCAATACCGATTTTCCTTCATATCATCATACTTTTTTTGCCAGTATAATTATATAATAGGTCTTAAAATGCTTTCATAGTGGTCTTAAAAAAGGTGCTAAAAACCTATTGAAACCTGCAGAAACCCTTTATGTAGCGCATACAAATTATATTTCCAAGTGGTTCAGACCTATTGTACGAGACTTTCTCTCTCCACAGGGGAAATGCACTTGGAATCTGAATGAATTTGTAATTTAAATGCGTTACTGAAACAAGTGAAATAAAGACAAAAAAATAAAATTATACAAAATGTATGTTCTGTTGGTCAAATATCTTTGTGAATCCGGCCCCAGGGGTTTCACATTGGACCAGACAGTGTAACATCACTTACTGTTTAAGCTCCTCAAGCATCTCCATGACTGCCACATCCCCTCGACCGTCCTCCGTTATGGACTGATGTTTTTTTAATCATCTAACTTAATGTCAGTACATTCCCTATTTGTTTTTTGCCACAGTACAGCTCTGCAGTTGTACTATTAATATTATTAATACTGTTTCAGGTCCACTAATACGACTACTGACAGGGTTTGTTTTCCTCAAATAATTTTCAGCAGCAGGACTTGAAGCCCCATGGAGTCAAATTCTTCTTTTTACTGTTTGGTAGCATTTTTGTGAATGAAATCTGCCCACAAATGGAGAAGAACAGATAGCTTTATATGACAATTTAAGGGCATTGTTTGTGCCAGTATTGAAATCTCACAAATGTAAACATAGTCATGAGCAGGGGGTGTCCATCAAGTCAAAATGAGAATTTTACCACAAGCTGACAATGTTCATGCACGAGGCCATGGAAGGTTACTGATAACTCAAAATAAGGCAGCAAAAGTAATTTTCAAATGGTACTTTGTAATGCTGTAATGTCAATTCTGTGTCTTTACAGCCAAACGGGCAAAGTCATACGCCAGCCTGATGAACATCCAGGACAAACTGAGCTGAAGAGGAGACAGGAGATGACGAACATGGAGGAAGGCGTTCTTTTATTAAAAGCTCAAACCTGGGAGAAGATCTGACTTCCTTACTGTGTTGTGCTTGAGATTTGACTGAACTCCATGAATGTAGAGGACTCAACAGCAGCTGTTTTTTCCCCCAGGACACTGTGATATAAGTCAGTCTTCTTCAGAGGTCTTGAAGGATCTAGATCCATGAAGTTGAATGCGAAATGCTTCGGGCCCATTAAACCATTACGCTTTTTTATACCTCTAAAACCTTCTCAAAATGTAGTAAACGGCGTTGGATCACATTAAAGAAAAAACTGAACAGATTTTTACAGATTTCTAGCAAAACAAATGTTGAAAAAAATATAGAAATTATGCACACACTGTGTATGAATCTGCCTCCCACTGCCATAGTTTAAAACCAGCTTTATTTAGTGTCATGTTGGGACATTTTGGATCTCTATTAAGCAGGACCTGTGTTGGAATCAAAGCCTGTCTAACTTTATAAACTACTAATCAGATGCTTGTTCATGTTGCTGCACGGTACGCTTGTAATCCTCACACAGATCCTGGCCTCGCCTTCCTTTCAACTCGTTAACGATCTTCAGGTTGTTCACTGTCACTAGAAAGAGTGAGTGGCTTGAATGCAGTGCGTGCATGTGCGTGTGTGTGCAAGTGAGCTAATGTGTGTATGTGCTCCATTTATGGGTCGAGAAATGGGTTTTTCTGTCTCTAATGTATGTCCCGAAAGGAGCTGCAAAAAGGAAGCACTTGATGTCCATTAGTGGTGACATGTATCTGCTGTAAGGAGAGGGGGTGCACATCAGTGGGGTGGGGGAGTAAATAAAGACATAACACACATAATGTAAGAGCACTCTAAAGTACCACACTATGATGTTACCTGTTTTCCAGTCAGTGTTTTTTTGTGGTTGCATTAAGCTTTTAATGCGCTTTGTTGTCGTTTTCCACTGATGTTTAACTTAATTTGTTAAGGGTTTCTGACTGCTCATGACGGTGAAGTCTCCTTTAGGAATTACGGGTGTTGAATTGATGAATTTGCCTATTAGAAATGCATTTGTTGTGAAGAAATGTACACCTAATTATGAATGCATACGCCCCAAATAAATATTTGTATGCCAGAAACAACCTGCAGATGCATGTGCTGTGATTTAACCACAACCAGCTTAGTGGAAAGTAACTAATCTTGAATATTTCCACTTTAAAATGTAACATCTGAGGTACATGTGCTTGAGTATTTCCATTTTATGCAACTTTATACTTATACTCCACCACATCTCAGAGACAAACATTGTACTTTTTACATCACTACATTTGTCCGACAGCTGTAGATTACAATTTTTCATACCATTCATTACCAATCAAACCATGTTATCTCCAAATTTGGAGATTTTTGAGATAAACTGATGTGTTTTTCTGGGCACTAGTTAAAACCAGCTCAACCTCAGCAGTAAAGTGCAACACACACTAATGCACCGGTAACAGGAAAATCACCATAATAGTAAAACACTGAGTACTTTTACTTTTGATACTTTTAAGGATAAAACTGAAATATTTAAATGCAGGACTTTTACTTACAGTGGAGTGCTTTCACAGTGTGTGATATTAAAGGATCTGAATACTTCTTCCACCTCTGGTGTCTAAAACCCCTGCAGCAAGCAGCAGTGACTGCAGTTACATGATGTCTAATGAGTCCGTGTTGTAGTTAAACCTGTTTTCTTCACACAGGCATGATCCCTTGTTCTCGGGTTACGTGGCCTTGTGTGTTTCTTGCAACGAGGCTTTTCCCTCCGTCATTAGCAGCTAATCTAAATGTGGGATAAAGATACTTGGCCGAATAATCGCAGCAACACATCCGTTAAACTCCTTTGGCTTTTTGGTCTTGTGGAGCGCAGCCACTGCTGGCCATCAGCAGGTCTAAGAGCATTACGGATATGCCGAGTCATATGATCCAGTTGCGGCCGGCAGAGCCGCTAAAAACACGGGCTTTTTGTCATCGGCGCTCCCGCACGGTGAAGTGTGTTGAGCGGCTCGGAGCTCAAGAATGACAGCTTTGATTCCTGTTAAGCCTCCGTTGTTTTTTTTTCCTGAGGCGCACCGGGGTCCTTAAGCGGGGCTGAAAGTCATGAAATACTCCCGGTAAAATTGACCGCAGGGCCGCCACGTGAATGAGAGAACCTGTGGAAAAGCTGCAGCTGCCCCCCCCCCAGTGATTGAATGGAAGTATTCTGACCTTATACTTAAATCAAAGTAGTACTTCCACAGCTTAAAAGTACTCTCTTAGGGGTAAAAGCCCTGCATTCAGAAGCAAAAGTGCATAAGTAGGCAGCAAATTTACTTAAATGAAGTACAGGTATGTGTTTTTTATTATTATTATTATTATTATTATTATAAATAACCCATTAAATAACCCCATATTATAAATGCGTGGAACTCATTTTGCATGTTAGCCTATACTTCATTTGGACGTTTGAGCTTCACTGTGCAGAAGGATGAATGTGCAGAGTTTGACACTAGAAGCCTGTTTTTTTTTCACGTTCATCTGCTGAACACAACTAGTCTGAAAGCCAATCAGACGAGTACAGAAGCTGAAAGAAAAGTGGTAGGCATCTTGTGTTGTTCAACTTTTTAAATGAACAACATTTTCATATTGATATTACTGCATTTTTATGTGTTTTAAGACATGTCTTGGGGACATTATATAGTATATAGTAGCAATACCAAATACTCCATTACAAGTAAAGGTCTATCAGTATTTTATTGTTATATTATTAGCTCATTAATGTTAATTAACATGAGCAGTACTTTAATGTTGTAGCTGGTCAAACTGGATCTAATTTTGACTGCTTCACATTTTGGTAGTTTATTACTTTATTAACTGATCATTATGTTTCATACAATTTTATTCTGAAAAGAAACTAGTAACTATAGGACTATATTGGAAAAAAAAGTGGAGTAAAAAGTATAGTATTTCCTCTTAAACTGTAGAGGAGTAGCAGAAAATTGAAGAACTCAAACTGTACTAAAGTACAATTTTAAATGTACTTGGTTACTTTCCACCATTGCTGTTCAGTGGGTTTATTTTACAACAATACATAATTTTGCCCAAACTGACTTCTTTTATATGTTAGATATTAATCTGCAAAGTAACTTGTAACAATAGCTGTTAAATAAATAAAAAAAGTAAAAAGTACAATATTTCCATCTGAACTGTGGTGCAGTAGAATTATAAATTGTGCAGACTTTACATACCTCCAAACTGTAGCTAAATACAGTGCTTGAGTAAATGTACTTAATTTCCCACATGCTAAAATGGATCATTATATCACTTGAACAGGTCTGCGTCCAAAAAAGATTGAGCAGTCTGGAGCTGTAAAGTGCCTAGTGAGTTCGTGTGACTCATTCTGAGGATTGTTGATTTATATATTTAGTTCTTCACATCTGGCTAAAAGGCAGTATTTTGGTAATGTTTGATTGTTAACATGCTTAGTTTCCTAGAAGGTGAATTTTTGTTTTTGCCACAAAATAAACATCTATCCATTTTAACTGATGTGTCAAGTGTGCACAAATGTATACATGTTTGAACAGCCACAAAGCTACATTTATTGTTTTATATGGGCTGCATTATGTGCGTTTGTTTTGGCCGCAGTTTATGACACAATGCAGTGATGAAGGCATCTGATTTACATTCTTACTGAACTGACTGCAGTGCAGCAAAAAATACAATCCATCAGTAATTATGGCCTAATGCCATGCATAATTATTGTACACCTAATCCACTCACAAAGAGCTTTGATAAGAAAAATGACTTTGAGAATAATACTACTGTAAGTGTCACAGTTTATGTGGAAGAAATTAATATGATTTTGTTAACTGACTCATATCGTGCTCTAGTTCTCAGTTGGATTACTGTGGAAAAAAATGTGCTGAGGTTTAAGTCTTGTAAGAAACAATGAAAATCTCAGTTATAGTAAGATGACTTTGCACCGTAGACAGAAATGACCAAATACATAATGATCACTAGAATGGACAGTTTATTGCATATCAATTAACACTCAAAATGGTGAGAAATGTGTCTCTGCTAATTGCAGTAATCTATCACCTTCAGTACATCAGCAGTGCTCAACCTGTAATAACCTGTTTATTTCAAAACTACATTCAAACGGTTTTTAATAAGTGTAAGTTTTTATTAATTCATTTCTAGAAAGAACTTAACAAGTTACTCATCATCTAAAAACCTCTTCAGATAGAGCAGTTGTTTGATAAAATCACTGTGTGTGGTACCAATTAATCAATTATGTATAACTTTTTTTTCTCATGGACTCAAGCATTCATCTCATTTTTCCTTGTGCTTTTGTAATGTGTAAATTGGTTAGTTGACTTATTTATAGCTGAGGAGGAAGTGAAGTGGATGAATGTTGGATGGCTGAAGCTGATGTTTGAGTGGCTAAGCGATGACACAAACCTTTCCTCAGACCTTGTCTGATGAGATTTGAGACTGGCAAGTGGCCTCTGCTGCACAGACCTTGAGATCATTTAGATTTTTTTTTTCCTGTAATAGCCTCAATGTTTCCCTGCGTCTGTGTTTGTCAGTGCCCCTCACGCTCTCTTAATATTTATATGTTCAGAGGCAACAAGGTAATGTTGGGCTAAAAACTGTGTATCTGTTTGCAATAGATACTCCAGCGGGCAAAACATAATTCTCTTTGCAAAGTTACCTTGACACAAGGTCAGTACATTTCATATTTGATAGACGAGTAGAGGGATGCTCTTCATGTTATTTCTGAATCTCGCCTTCAGTTTTCATTTTTAAATGTAATTCTTGTTAAATGACTGTTTTGTTTTTGACAAGGTCACAGCCTCCTCTAGATTAAATGCCTTTGAATATTCTGCTGTCCTCTACAATCATCCTGCACTGTTCTGTAGTCTGTACAGTGAATCCTATGTTACCTAGCAGCAAATGTCTCATTCGTTATGGCAATATTAAGAAACTGTTAGTCAGGGCTTAAGTTGTTATGCAACCCCCCCCACCACCAACAACACTCTAAGCTGTCAGTTAGTTAACTGGCTGAAGGTCAGTCTTAGATTATGCACCTCTCAACCCCTGAGCAATGAATATGATGCTTTGTTGAACAAGGAGTAAACATATGCCCCTGGGAGTAGGAATTAGCAGACACACACACACACACACACACATGCACCCTCTCTCACAGAGCATACGCAGAGTGAATAGGGCTTATTATACACCTGCGAGTGGGGTCAAAGTCTGTCAATCCCTAGCTTATGGTATTATGATAGATTATAGAATCACTCTCTAATGGCAGTCATTCAGTTTGTAATCTCAGCAGCTTGATGCAAAAGCACTCAGCGTTCCAAGCAAAGGGTCTGTTGAAAATAAGGCCTTCTCCTCATTCATCCCTTACTTCCCCCCTTTCACAAAGGTCTTATGACAAGTCAGCTGTTGGTGACATCACAGATGCTGGATCATATGTCAGAAACCTTTGCTGGCTGACTTACATCCATTGTGGCTCAGCAGCAACTGAGGCCACTTGAGGCCAAAAGAGCGGCGAGGTTGCCCCAGGGGGTGAGGGGGCAAGCTGGCAACAGGCAGGAAGTGGGTGTGTGTGTGTGTGTGTGTGTGTGTGTGTGTGTGGGTGGGAGGGGGGCACTTCTCAGGGCAGGAACATCTGACCCATGTGTGGGTTTGTTTGTGTAGACAACCAGAGAGTGCCCATCTTTCCATCAGCTTGAGAAGACATTTATCATTTGTGTGGAGTATGTGTGTGTGTGTGTGTGTGTGTGTGTGTGTGTGTGTGTGTGTGTGTGTGTGTGTGTGTGTGTGCATGAATTAGAAAGTCTGGATTTTGTGCATGAGAGTCAGCGGATGTCTGTTTCTGAACAGCACACATGTGGGAGAGAAATCTGTGTGCGTATGAAAAATGGGGCTTGTCAAAAATTAAACCATTCAAATTTTAGTTTGAGGAACATGAGTTGGATTTTGATCACAAGACAGTAGCGCCACCTAAAGTCAGCTTTTGAATATAACAATATTTTCCTGTAAAGTAAGCTTTTATGATGTTGTTAATATTAAAACCCTTACATAGCTATGTTTATTATTTAATGGTTTA